TGTGTGTGTGTGTGTGTGTGTGTGTGTGTGTGTGTGTGTGTGTGTGTGTGCGTGCACATTCACACACACACAAGTGTTCGTTGTTCGTTTGTTTGTTTGTAGGTGAGTGTTCGTGGGGTGGTCCCCGAAATGTCTCGGTGAAGCTTGTGTCTTGTAATCTTACATGAACATATTGCAAGAGGTTTAAAACTGCAGTGTTTGTAAGTGTGTTGACTTTTAACTGTTGGTTACACGAATGCATTTTGTGTAGCGATCACAACCTGCCCGGAGATGTCACAGTCTGCTAATTTCTCACTTGCACCCCTGTCTGTTTCACTAATTCAAATACATTTTAGTCTTTAGAAGTCACTTGCTCTGCCCTCTCCTCACTAAGGTATTGAATTATGCAGTGTGCTCTATATTTCCAACAACGCAAAGAAACCTGAGCAGAGACAACCCGCAAAAAACTAAACTGACTGACGACACAGGGTGCAAAGCAGTAGTTGCCTCCTGAGCACCATGTAAACACTCTGAAGTCTTATACACCTCCATCCGTCCTGATGTATGGAAACGATGGGTTCTGGATACGTGCGTTTACTGATTGATTCTGTACTGGCAGCTTCTTAGTCCTGCTACCATACAGGCTCATGGAGCGGGGTTGGGCTGGGACTCGTGGCCATGATAGAGTGTACTTAATCAGCTGGAGAGGGCCGTCAGCTGTACACTCCCCTCCAGAGCATGTCTGAAGCCCTTTGTGAAAGGGTGGACACATTTAACATGCCCCCACTCATTGGCCAATCGTTACACCTGTATTAGTCTGCCGGGGCTGTGTTTGAGTGGTGCGGGAGGGATGGCAATAAGAGTTCAGTGATGGCAGCCATTAGCAGATGATTGATGGGCTTTAAAGGTTATTTTAGTAAAGCCAATGTTTTCATGAAGTCAATGATTGATGCTATTGTTTTCTCTGGGGGTATTAATAATGATTATAAGGGTTTTTTATGTTACAGCTGAACGTAGAATATTACAGTGACTTTCCATCAGCTTTGCTGTATCTTGGAAATGGGCTAATGCATTTGCTGCTAAATGGTTGATTGTGTGCCTCATGATGTTAAGCCCCAAGTCACTGCGACAGTGTTATTGCTGCTCAGAGCAACATATTTGGTGCAGCTTGTGGTGCATACTGTGTGATCATTTGTCTTGTCAGGATACAGGGTTGTTTGTGTGCTGGTAATAGCAAAGACAGCCATTTTTGTGATTTATTTTTTGCACACCGAACGCTACTTGTGTGCTGACGTGTTCTTCTTCTGTGTCCCACTGTTTGCCTAGATAACCAGTTCAGAATGTCTATCCTGGAGCGCTTGGAGCAGATGGAGAGGAGGATGGCAGAGATGGCCAGCCACCAGCAGTCGAGCAGTGCAGGGAGTGGCGGAGCTGGGGGAGGAACAGGGGGAGGGGGAGGAGGAGGAGGGGGAGGAGGCGGAGGAGGTGGAGGCAACAACAGCCAGTCACAGGTAAAAAGCCACATCGCGCTACATGTGACAGTACACAGCAAGCACATTGTGTTTTGTCTTTATTGTAACATAATTATGTGATTTTGTTGTTGTTAAGGAGGCATATACAACATCCAATAATGATATGCTTCTTCTGTGTATGTAAGTGTCTATCTGGTCAGGCCAGCAGCTCCTTTGAGAGTCGTGTCGTTGTGGTCTGTGAGAAGATGATGAGCAGAGCTTGCTGGGCCAAGTCCAAACATTTAATCCACTCCAAGACCTTCAGAGGCATGACACTCCTTCACCTGGCTGCAGGCCAGGGCTACGCCACCCTCATCCAGACACTCATCAAGTGGCGGTGAGAACAAAATACTCTACATTCTAGCACTTTTGGTTTGTAATTGGTGCGCACCACACCAAACAGCAGTGAGATACTAATTGTTTTCTCTCTTTCGTCCAGCACCAAACATGCTGATAGTATTGATTTGGAGTTAGAGGTGGACCCTCTCAATGTAGATCACTTCTCCTGCACGCCGCTGGTAAGAGAGCTGAAGTTAACATGTTTAAAGCAGCATGACTTTGTGTGATGAGAGAAACCTGTATTCAATCAATGCTTGTTCAACAGTCTGGTGTAACCCATTAACTTAAGTATCCCGTTGATACTTTGTCTTTTTTTGTCTGTTTTCCATCCAGATGTGGGCATGTGCACTGGGTCACCTGGAGGCTGCAGTGGTCCTGTATAAATGGGACAGACGTGCCCTAGCCATCCCAGATTCTCTGGGCCGCTTACCCCTCTCAATTGCCCGATCTCGTGGCCATACCAAATTGGCTGAATGTCTGGAGCAGCTACAAAGGGAAGAGCAGCAGCCACCAGCCCCTCTACCTCCCACAACTCGCATGTCTTTCTCCCCAGCCCCCGACACCCCCACCACTGACAGCTGGATGGTCAGCTGGGCAAACAACAGTGGAGTAGCACCCAGTGGCAAGAAAGGGGGTCCTGCCACCACTACAACCACATCCAGCACTACAAGCCTCAATCCAGGTCAGTAGAGTTCTCTTTTTGCTTGTCTCTTACAATACACTAGTTAAGTGAGTAGCCTCACATAGGTCACAGCAAGATTCCTTATTTTCTGTCTTTGTTAGTGTATTAATGCAGCTAATTATTAAATGTTGTGTTTTTTGCAGACTTGAGAAGGCCCAGGTCAGAGCCCTCCAACTACTACAGCAGCGAGGGCCACAGAGACCTTCCACTAGCTAAAAAACATAAACCCAACCCAGAACTGTTTCAGACTCGGCCCGACAAGGCCATGTCTGTCCCCCTGAGCCTGGAGCAGCAACATCTCCACAAGCTGTCCTCTAGTCCCAAGAGCCTGTCCTCAGAGGGCCTGAGCTCAGACAAGGGCCTGTCTACAGGAGGCAGCACGGGGACAACCAGATGGACCTCCAGAGAGAGCTTCTCTAGCAGCGGCATGGGTAGGAAGGTGTTGGGGGTCAGTGGAAGCAGCAGCTTGGGGAAGGAGAAACTGGTGAACCGGTTGCGTCAACGGGAACAGCTGGGCATGCTGGTGATAGCTGACAGAGAAATGGCTGATGCAGAACTATTATCCTATCGGGAAGATCTGGAGAACCAGGACTGTCTCACACAGATGGATGACCTGCAGGTGAGAGTAAACAAGTGTCAGCTAAATGTGTAGAACTTGGCACTACACACTACACTAGCCACAGATGAAAGGTTCAAAATAATTCCGGCCAAAAAACATATTGCTTTTGATTTAAAATGCCTGCATCACAAAAATAACATAAAATAATATGATCCTGATTGCAGCTGATGATGAGATGCATGGGAACAAACAATCAGGGGGGAAATCTGTTTTAGCTGATCGCCTTAGTTTTAGAATATTTTTTTTGTGAAGTAAAAAAAAAAAAAAGAATAGTAGTATATAAAGTATAGTTCTGATATTATGTATACATATATTCTTAGAGGGAAGCTGCATTATGGATGATTTAGTGGCACCACTTTGGAAAGTGGTATGCATATGAATTACATTGTCACTAGTGAAGAAAGCTAGATGAGATTCAAATTTAGACATAACCGCACCATGCAACCTCTTTTATGTCCGCCTTCTGCATTGGGTCGGCTGCATGCACCAGACCAACCTGGCACTCTGTCGATGACCATCACTGCATAATAAACTCTCTATTGATCCCCTTCCATAGCCAAGGTATTCTTTCAGCCATCCATCTCAGGCTAACTACTCCTCCAACAGATGAAGTGCTGGATTAGGAATATTAACAGCATCACTTTATTCCACTCTTTTGGCTTTGTCATATGGGCAAAAAAATTAGACGTGCATGTCTAGATCATGTTCAGTCACCAAAATAGGTAGTCACTCAACTATATATAGTGATGAACCTTGACAAGTTTGGTCCTCCCCTCTGTCATCAAACAGGCAAATATGATGACTCTGGCAGAGCACATCATTGAAGCGACTCCAGAGAGAATCAAAAGGGAGAACTTCACCGCAGCAGACTCTGTGCCCTTAGACACGTCAGGGGTGAGCAACACCATGAACTGGCTGGCCAACTACCTTGGAGATGTGGAACAGCTGCCTAGCATCATACACCTACGGTAAGGTGCACCGTGGGGCGTAAAATAGCACATATGCATAATGCATGGGCAGTGTGTGGGTGTGTTTACAGTATGTGTGTTCTCCCCACTGCATTCTTCCTTTTTTTCTGTGCTTTGTTACTCCCTGGTATTGTCCACAAAGGTTACTACTTTGTGGGAGTAAAATGGACAGTAAAAAATGAACACTGTGAAGAACACGTTTCTATGCAGCACTTACTGTAAAGTGCCAGTTTAAGGTCAGAGTGAAAAGTGCAATGCGCTGTTGAAACAGGATATTTGTATTAAGCATAGTGCCTCAAAAGACCGTGTAGAACAGCGGAATGTCAATTTGAAAAGAGAGGCTGTTTTATTTTATGACGGGGCAGGAGCCCAGAATTGCTTATTATCCGTGACAGTGTTACTTTATGGAAGTTTCTTTTACACCCACTACAGTTTGCAGGCAGTCAAAAAAAAAAGACTAAATAATATACACTTTATATTAACAGTTGTTAATAAAAAGATAAGTTGTGACTTTGATTCCTACATGTAAGTGTTAGGTAGACAGGTGTAGTGTAAGCTTGAATATTCACTACCAGCTTCATTCACACGCTGAACATACGTATAATAAACAAAAAACATTTCTGTCATCTTCTTTCCTTAGATCTCTTTACAATGAACCCCTGACCCCATCGTCAAACCCTAGCCTCAGTCCTGGGGGGTCTCCACTGAGAGAGGGGCCCCTAGAGAGGGCTGCGCTCCCATCCCCAGCTGACTGGAGTGAGTTCATCAATGCCTCCAACAGCAAAGTGGAGCGAGACCTGGCCCAGCTGACTCTGTCAGATCCAGAGCAGAGAGAGCTGTATGAGGCCGCCCGCCTTGTCCAAACTGCCTTCCGCAAGTACAAGGTACAGGCCCGGCGCTCAGGTGCCTATGCTGTGTGTACTGCAGCCCGCAGTGACGAGGCTGTACTGTTAGGACTGGTATTATTAGATGGTTTTGCTTTTGAATTTTTCGAGAGATGTTGAAGGGTTTCTTTTTTTATTTGGTTCCAAGCTACGGAGCTCTGATTTTTGCAGTAAAGTTCAGGGTTGTGATACGGTTCATTAGTATCTTTTGTTTGGGCATATACTGTTTCTAATCGTACCTAATATTATTGACATTTTTCTATCTCTACCTCTGTCTCATTCTCTGTTCCTCTGCTCATATACACATTACAACATGAACAAATATATATCCAAATATGTCCCTGTGGTTTCAGCATGGGAAGGTGCCTTGAGCAGAGCATGGCCTTGCTTAGAGGAACGACTGCACTGTCCCCCGTATCCCTGCTCCAATTAGACACAGTTAAGCTTATGTTCTCCTGCTCTCTCTTTGTCTCTGTTTCTCTCTCTGAGTGAGGTGTATGGAGCCTGCTACTGCCTGTTTTTAACTAGCTTCCACACACCAGTCCTTTTACCCCTGCCCGATCCCATTCCTCAACTCGCTACCCCCCCCCCCCCCCAGCTACTTTTAATGAGTTTTCATATCACAAACTGTTCGCTGTCGTTTACAGTCATCTGTTAAGCCTGTCTGCCTGCTGATAACTGAGGTGGAACTTTTTCGCTGAACAGTTCACCTCCTGCTCCCAATCGCTCACCTGGGGTGGACTCATGCCAGGGTGGCATTCACATGTCGGCCACCAGGAGACCCTCGGGGAGACTTGACAGAGCCACTAATATCCTTTGTGGCAAAATGTAGGTTCATTTGTGACCTCTGACCTATCCACCTCTACTCTCCAACAGGGGCGTCCGCTCAGAGAGCAACAGGAAGTAGCCGCTGCTGTTATTCAACGTTGTTACAAGAAATACAAACAGGTAGGCACCACAAATGCATCGACGTGTTCCTGATAAGTGCTTTTGTTAACGGGTTCCAATGTAATTACTGTACATCATAGTTTTTGGGAGACAGAAATCTACATGAGCTAACTATCTAACTATATATTTTTCACTAAACATAGTTTTTGAGAATAGTGTATGTTAGTCCATCATTTACAATATTTTCCCTTTTCTGTTTGCAAGCTAACATGGATAGCCTTGAAGGTAAACATTTTTCACTACCAGCAGCTAAATTAATTGCCAAACTTTGCTCTTCTACCACAGCATGAACCCATAGCACTGTTGCAGTCTTCACACACAGCAAAAGCATGACATATTGTGTCGTTGTCATTGGCAGTATGCACTTTATAAGAAGATGACGCAGGCCGCCATCCTTATCCAGAGTAAATTCCGCAGCTACCACGAACAGAAGAAGTTTCAGCAGAGCAGGAGGGCTGCCGTGCTCATTCAGCAATACTACCGCAGCTACAAGGAGTTTGGCAGGCTGAAGCCCCACCACCGCGGGGCTGCTGCTGCCCTGGTGCAGCACAAACTGAGGTAGACACACAGCCACATACTGTAGGCCACATACTGGAATATACTAATCCTGCTAAATACAGCAGGATTATAAAGAGACCACTGAATGTAATGTCTTGGAATAGGACCCTCCACATTTTCACTGAAAGATACAAGATACAAACTCAAATTCATATTAACAGAGATGTAACGTTTGCTCTCCAAACAGTAGGACATTATTCTCTTTCTGGTGTTTCACAGAGGTAGTCTGCTCACAAAGAGGCAGGATCAAGCTGCCAGGAAGATCATGAGGTTCCTACGTCGCTGCCGCCACAGGTAGACCCCGACACTGACTCGCACATATGCTGACATAGTCATTCATACATATGTACACACAGAACTTCACATGATTAAACTTCACATTTACATTTAATGCACGGGTTGGTTCATGGTTTAAAAGAATAAAATCCCATTGAGCTAATCAGTAAGACTCAGTATAAACTACCAGTAGTTTCATAATCTTGTCCATCTCTCAACTCTTCTTTTTACTCGGTGTTATGTGTTTGATTTATTTTTGTTGGACAAATTGGGTGGTAACACCTAAGCTCCACCCCCTCCCCCTCACTGTATTTGCCCCCATCCCCCCCTTCCCCCACTTGTCCTCGCCCCCTCCCTCACAGTGCCTACTGTGTGCTAATAGCTGTCTGGTATTGTTTTGCTGTTTATGCCAAGCCCCTTGATGGACCATAGACTGTTCAAGCGGGTGAGTGCAGCCTCAGCAACTCACTTCGTGCCTCTCTCTCTCTCTCTCTCTCTCTCTCTCTCTCTCTCTCTGTTATTCTATATGCCTCTTTCTCCCCCTTATCTCCCTCTCTGTCTCTCCCTCTTTAATAACACAATTATCTCCTCCTGAGGTCTCGGCCTTCGCATTCTCTTCCTCCTTCCCTCACTCTCGTTTTCTCTTTTGCTCTTTCTCTCCCATCCCTCCACCCATCACTGTTGCTTGATGCCTGCTTGCATGACGGCTGCCGACTGGAGCCACAGGTGGACTGGGAAGCTCAGATTAAAAGCAGAAACCTATCTTGAACTAACAAAATGCTTATGAATGACAATATCACTGCAACACGTAACAGGCTCTCCTCTGACTCTCTTTATCTCTGTCTTTCTCTCCTTGGGAATTACTTTTTGTTCATATTGTTGTTGTTTTTTATTTCACTTTTGTGTGGTTATGCAGATAGCCAGTTTGAGAGAACGGGGAGCTTTTTTTCAATCCTGTTTTATTCTGCTGCATGTCAAGTGGTGACAACTATGAGCCTTGCTCTTCTACTTATAGGCATGCTGTGGGCCTGCTGTTTCTCTAGTAGTTGTCTGTCTGTCTCACTGGCTGTGTGTCCTGTTTCTAGCCACTCGACAGACTGAGAGAGGGACTCAACCCCTCTAATTTCCATCTACTAAAACTGTGTCAAACTGTTGATTGTATTATGCCCACATGGTTTATCAAAACAAAACAAATGCATTTCAAAAAAAACAGTGCAAAAAGATACACTGAACAGGAAACAGTTCAGAACATCATATAAAGCATTTATAGAAGTTTGAGGATCTGAGTATTTTCACAAACTGTTAACCTCCTTGCTGTTGACATTCATATTTCATGTTTTTACTCCTTTCCACATCTGCTGTATACTGTCCTAAAATAGGGCGCCAGGCTTGTAGAGCAGGTGAGATTGTTGATGTAACCACCTCTCATGGGAGGCTCGTCTGCTACGCTGGGATATAGGTTAGGAAGCTGTGACAGCATATAGGTCACAGAACAAAAACAATAGGGTCCTCTACCCTTTGGGACTAAAACACAGAGCTTTAATGGATTCATACCGCCGGGGAGTACTCTAGCTCAGCATGAGAGGACCCAACATGCACACACACACACACACACACACTGTATCTAACCATGCATCTACACAGTCCACTCTTCTATACATAAATGTTGCAGAAGTTAAGAATAAGAATATAAGGTTAAACCCATTACATGATGATGGTTGATGTGTTAGAATCAATTGGTCCTGTGTACTCGCCAGGCTGTCCGCTCTTTGCTCATACACTTGAGACGCGTGTGTCTCTTCTATGAACCCAGCTTCTGGTGGTGTTCTTTTGCGAGCTGCATGACAATGCATTCGTGACGATTTTAAATATTAGTTGCTCCCCCCCCCCCCCACAAACGGAGAATTTCTTCTCAGCCTTGACTGGTGTGTTTGGAAATACTTCTTCGTTCTTTGAAATGTTTTATATGTGGAAGTGACCTCGATCTAGCCCATAAACATTTAGTGCAATGATTCCTGCTTTTCATCATTAACTAACTAGATTTAGACTGGAGAAGGACATTACTAAATTTCAATAATCACAGGAGTAAGCACCTCATGCTGTGAGGCACCAGTGTGTCACATGCTGCATCTTGAGGAAAAAGGTTTTTCTGTGTGCCGTTTGTCACTTTGAAATGAGTATTAACTAGAATAATAAATGTAATTATAGTAATTATGATATCATTACCATATTGTGTTGGGACACTTCGAAATGAAATGCATGACAAGATGTCTTGTATTTATTGTGTCACAAAAGTGCATTTAATCCCAATTGTGATAGATTAATATGGTAATGATTCTGTAATTGTGCTATAATTATGTTCTGTTCAATCTTGACTAACATTTCTTTCCACAGCCAGGAGTAGTTCCTGATGACGGCTCTGGCTGAACAGTGTTGATACTCTCAGGCCCGTGCTTGTCTTGATGAGCTTGTTACTAGGAACCCGTGTTGTTGACGTGATATTCATAGACACTTGTCTCTCTCTGTGTTCCAGGGTGAAAGAATTGAAAAGGGCCAGGGAACATGAGACCCCTCAGAAGAGCCCCCTCGCCATGTGACATCACTCTCCTGACTCCTCCTTTCTTTTCTGTTTGTACCCGAGACATTTTACAAGAGAAATGGGAAAAAAAAAAAAACATCAATGCAAGCACTGCGATTATTACTACTACTGCAGTGCTACTGGTTCAACTACTATTACATGTACAACAGCATTTTTTCACATATCTATCCTTTCCACTGACTTGATTTTGGTCAGAGAGTGGCAACTTCTACAGGATTATAAACTAAAAGGGTCGGGGTGGGGGGGGTGCAGAACATTTGCTTCATGGCATTTTTTTTGCACTTTTTTCATGGATTGCTTTGTCTTCTTGGAATATGAAGAGGTTTTGGACGGTAAGGAAGCAAACGCAGGACATGCCTGAAGAGGTCTGTCAAACAGGAGGACCTCAAGGCGTAAATTAAGGCTTTTACTGCAGAAGATCTCAGAGGATAGGGAGACCGCGCAGAAACACTCTGGCCTCTAATTGTGTTTTAAGTGACCAATCAATTCATTTGAGGAAGGATTTTTTTTTTACCAAATATATTGGTCACCCACACGCCCACTTCTATCCACTGCTGTAGATGATATGATATTCAATTTAGCTCAACAATTCCTGCTGTCCCACTGAGCTCTACCCCACCAGTCTGCCCACACGGGTGGAGCTACAAATGAATGTAGTCCGGGGTTTAACCATGCAGAAGCAGATGGGGGACACAATATTTTGTTTTTGCCATTTCTTTTTTTTAAAACCTATGCTTTATGGTATATATTGTCACTTTATTACTTGAATTTGTTCCATACTGTCCAATGTATTTGTTCCATCATGTCCACTGTATTGGTGATCTGTACCTTCAGACTCTATGTTGTTGAATCCTACCAAGAAAAAAATGCATGACTTCTTGGCTTGTGTGCTTACGGTCTAGTCTTTCAGCCTATCCTCTGACCATCTTATCCCCCATAAGTTCTGTCATCTCAGTCATGAAGCTATCCCCGTATTGTCCCGTTTCTTTTGATTTTGCTTCGTTCAGTTGATTGATCCTTTGAAACCGAACAAGAGAAAAGAACTTGCCTATTTTGTGTTGTAATGGTCATGGTCATGCAGTTTATTACTGTTCTTTTTAAATGAACTTCGGAGCCTGTGAAGGCTTTTGAGGGGAAGATCACATACATTGCCTTGACGTCTTAGAGATTCTTTGAGGGGTCCCTAAGCTTGTCCCAAAATAGGGGTTTGACAAATCCATATTTTTGACAATTGAGCGATTTCTGTATATAAAGAAGGCTGAAAGTACGTAGGAAAAAAACGTTTACCCAAAGGGGATTGTATTTTAGAAATATATTATTTTATTCATTAAAAATGGGTCAAAAACAGGTACGAGACAAAAACAGAATATTTGTATAGTTTTGTTTGAATGCCTAAGAAGTATGGTTGTATTGTTTGTATATAGTGTAAATACCTGGGATAAAAATGAGCTATGTGCATGAAAAGTATGAACAGAGTCAAAAAGGGAAAAAACAACAAAAGCAGTAGTGGCTATGCTCTGTAAAATTAAAACTATTTCACTATTAGAGTATTTTATTTTATTTTGATTGTTCTTGAGAAGAACATTTTGCTAAAGCATGATATTATTGCAATATAAAAAGGTTAAAAAAAACACTGTATTTAGAGTTAGGAGATGTCTGCATTATCATAAAACAAGTATGTTATGTTTACTTTTGTTTGTTTTTTGTTTGTTTTGGGCTACCAAGAACCTTTTGCCAATGGTGCCAAGGTATTTGAATGCTATATAGCTTAAGAAAAGAATTAAGTTAATTTTTGCAGAACAGATAATCATACAGTGAAATACACACTAGCACTGAAGACCATAAGATCACAAGTGGTCGAGGATCACTAGAACAATGCGGTACACAGATTGCAGAGGGAGTTATATGTAAGCAGAATGCATTTAAGTCTGTCATGTCTCCACCATTCCCACAGATAACTGAAGCATTTGACCATCACTGAATACACAGCAGAGTTTACATTTTATTTTTGTTGTCATTGCAAATGGAATGTGTTCCTGAGGTATCTCGCCTGAGCTTAAAGATTGGCAGCCTTGCCCATGGTGTTCCTATAAAAGCGATCCATGCAATTTGTCTCTGTCACCGAGAAAGATTGAATTCACCTCTTTAACTTTACACTCCCTTTCAGCAAGCATTGATTTATCAATTCTTGGCGGATCCCTGTAATAAACTGGTGGCAGGATTTTCTGAGTACAATGTGTTTTAATTAAAAGACACCCAAAAAAAACAACGTGATCAAGGCTGCCAGGGTCTAAATAGACCTTGTATTCTATGTCAAAAAGGAACAAAGAAAAAAATGTCTAGTTGAAAAACATGTGTAGCATTCTGTACATGACTGGATTTCTTTGTCAAGCAGCTGAAAACATTTGCAAAACTAACTGTTCCGACAGTCAAAGGTGCTAAACCGATTCTATCCGGAAGGACAGCACTAAAAGTTGCCACTTGCCTCGATGCAGGGTCAATGAGCCAAAATGACTGTAGTAACGTGTGTGTAAAACAGTGCACTAGTGCCATTTATTATTATGAGGCATAAGATGTGTCTTATACATTGGATCATATATATTATACGTATATATATCAGTATTGATTGGGCTGTAGGAACAATCCGAGAGAGAACATGAGCTGCTGGTTCAGAGGTGCCTGTTGGTTGCTGCCTAATTTCTATATTATATTCCTACCAGAACTACCAGAAAGTGTATTCTGTATCAAAGTAATGACATTTGATTTTTAAGCCAAGTGCCACTGAAAAACTTGAGTTTTATTTGTTGAAGTATTGTCATGTTTGTTGAAATTATTATTAGGCTAAGTAGGTATTTCTCAGATTTATTTCCTTGACTGACTGGTTTGTTTTGTTTGTTTTTCCACACACTTCTGATATGTAAACTTTATTTTCCCGAGTGTTTATGTAGAAAGTGCCTATTCATATCCTGATCACACAAGCCCAGTGTCAGAATGCATACAATGTACCTGAGGTTAAGAGAATGTGAGAGAACATGGTCACCCACAGACAGTGCTGTATCCTCTACATGAACACACATGATCACCGTCACCTTACACTCACCAAAGCGACAATATGATATTCCCACAGCACTCCAGCTTGTCAACATGCTAAGCTTTATTCTTTTTGTTCGTACGCCTTCTTTTGTGTTTCGTAAAGGGACAGCTTGTTAAAATCACACTTAGATATGCCACTACTGGGGTTTGTTGCCTTGCATTCATCCTCCTGGTCTGTGGTTGGAATGCATAGCCAATGCAATGTCGTGGCGAAAAGGAGAAGGATTTATTATGCTTGCATGGGTAAAATAGTTAACTGGGTGACCAAACTGCACCTAAAGCATGCTTATTTTCCTAGAATCTGTAGTCAGATAGACTTGTTATAAAGACTTGCTGTTCTGTAAAACGATGAACGTTGGTTTGACGTGTCACAGAACTCAGAAAGACAGAGGGCATGTGACTGGAGGGCTGACGGGAAACCTACAAATGAGCCAGTGATCGATACTCGGTAGCTGCTGAGGTTTTCATAGCAAAGCATGACGACAGGATTGTTTTTAGACCAAGCTCAAACCTTTTAGACTTTTTCTTTAGTTATTTTCTATTCTTTTAGATTTGATCAGTGTGCTCCCAACTTCAAATAGGACTAATGTACATGGGTGGAGACCATTGTCACAGTATGTATAGCAAGTATTAACTAAGTGACACACGGTACACACGAACACACGCACAAGACACAGCACAGCAGCACACACGCAGACATGTCACGGTGTCAGTTTCATTTGTACGCTGAGCGGCATCGCTATTCTCCAGGCAGAGGGACAGGTTCACCTCCCTTCTGTATTTTACTCAGGGTGCCAAAATGGGGAGGAGGAAGCAGAGCAGGACACATGATTCACAGCAGAAGAAGCTGAAATTGAAAGAGGAAAACCTTCCAGCAGTGCTCTCTGGTAAAGACAGACGGCTTCAGCGCTGCGATGCTGACGTCTATAAAATGAATGAATATGAAATATAATCCATTTCCTCTCAGTAACGCTGATCATTGCAGACACCCGGTGTAGCCCCGGCATAATGTCCTGTTATATATAGCTCATTAAGATAAATGATTTGACTTTCTGTCATAGGAGCCTGTCAAATCATAGTATAATTCTGGCCGGTTCTTTAGGCCTTTAATTTATCTGACGAAATGCAGAGGGTATTTAAGATTAAGATTGTAGCTATGTGAAAAGTTCACCTGAAAATCTTGTTTTGTACTGCCATTTATGAATGGGATGACAGGTTAGCTTATAGGCACTCTTCATACAGTATTATCAATTTCAAGATGTTCTGTGGATAGACCTGGGAATCTGCCTTTCCTCCTCTTCTTTTTCCCCAAGCACCTAAACCAGAGAAAGGTAGGCACATCAGGACAACAGAACAGAAACAGTTTTACAACATATTCCACTTGTGGACACAGAGCAATAAAGAACTATTTTGTGGAGACCTATAGACCTAGTGAAGTTTAAAATGATTGGACACATGTAGTCGACTTACTCTTATGCAAATGCCAGTATTGCAAGACAAGCATTCAGTAGTTTATGGACAGCAATTATATGGCACCCTTTACCGAACTGCACGTTTTCATCAATTCCAAACCAAGAAGAAAAAAAAAGACCCTGCTTTGATAGAAAGTTATGGGTCCTCAACACTTTGCATGTGAACTAGTGTTAGATCTATTTTCCTCTCCTCTATAGCTGTCTTTCTCTCTGTCTTTCCTCGTTATGTGACCCAATTTTTCTCCGCTCCCGACCCCCAACCCTTGAAAGTTTCATCTCCTCTTGGTTCTCCTAATGTGTTTTGCTTTCCTCCTTTTTCTTCCCTTCTCTTGTTTGTAAGTTTTATTTTTGTAATTGTGCATGTACAAGCGTCACTGACTCGATGGATATGTTTAAAAGGAAAAAAAAAAAAAAAGAAGATATTTCAGCTGCTGAAGCCATGCAAAACGTTTTGAATTGCCCTTAAAATATGGAAGATGTTTTCTGAATGCTTTATATTCTTTCTGCTGTAAAATAATAAAAAAAGGAAAAAATGAAGAAAACTCGAGGACAACGTTTGTGCCTGATATGTTTTGCACCAACACCTTTTTTCAAGAAAAGACAATTAGCAGAGACAGTATTTAGAGTACAGTTTTTATTTCTGTTCGACAAACAGTGCTGTATGACCTTTTACTTCCACATTTAGAGACATGTGGTCATATACCAGACAACCAAGGACTTTTATCACATGTGTGCACATAAATATAGTTACATACAACATACAAGTAATTTCAATAAATCGTCCCAAAACTATTTATCTCAATCATACCTATGGCATTATTCTTTTTGTCAATAAATACTGACAGTGCGTATGTATGTGAGTGTATATGTGTGAGTACATGCACCTGGGCATATATATGTGCAGACATACCGCTACATACATACATGATGTTTCTTATTTTGTCTGCATGTCCTTATGTGAGTGCAAGATAGGGATTTCTGTTTTAGTGCAAGCCCTGTCTCTATTGTGTAGCATAATGTCAACTGTTTTAGACACAGTACTTCCAGAAACACTCAGAATTCCCTGCTCTCTTCCTGAACTGTTTCCGGATGCCCAACACACGGCTGAACGGATTTAGGAGACTTTGTTTCTCTAACAGGACCTGGAACACAGGATAAAGTAGCAGGGATACACATTTTATTCACAGCTTACTTTTCTTTGCTGTTTAAGGTATAACATTTGTAGAAAACCCACCTCTCTTTTCATCCCCCTGGGAAACAGGCTTGTTCTGACACCTGAGGGAAATAAAACATGAGCTTATTCTGATATTCGAGATAACTCATGACAGATTGTTGCATTGGAAACGCTTTGGAAAGCACAGGGCTGAAACACGTCCATTTCCGTGTTGAGGACTTCATTGCTAGTTGTGTAATTTTCAGGTCTGCACCAGTTATTCTCTAAAAAATGTTGAGTTGGGCACGACAGTTCTATTGTTTGCATTAGCCATGTTTCTGTGCATGTCAGACTTTTGGGTAGTAGAAAAGTAAAGCAACTCCATCAACAACTACAACTACCCGGCCTTGATCAATACCTCCAACTGCCTGGTTCTCCAGCAGTGCTGCTTGGTATCCCACCATAGAAATGTATGGTAACACTGGTATAATTGTGTGTATCAGTTCGAATTTGTAGCACAATGTTTCTGCAAAATGAAATTGGGTGATTTCCCCTGGATGAAAGTGTCTGCATTGAGTATGAGCCCTTTAATACAAGATGAGCCGTGTGTGTGTTTCTTACCATCTTTGTTATACTCCCCAGATATCAGAGTGGAATATCTGAGACCAGCACCGTCCCGAGATGGGAAGGTTTGCTCGGAGAGAGACAGATCATCCAGAGCGCCTCCGTCCTCAACTGATACTGAGGATAAAAGAACAACCAAAGAAAGCTGGTAACGCACAACTGACGGGTAAAGATTCACATTATGTACATTTTCTAGACATTTATTTAGGTTATTAGTCTAGTTTATGCTAAATGGTAAACACGTTTCACTTTTGTCATGACATATACAGCAAATTAATGAGGAAGTTTGAATTATTTGAACAGAAAACTGAATATATTCTCTAACAGCAGAGAAATCCCTCATTAATGTGTGTGAACTCAGGCAGAACAATCAGTGTCCAACACTGCAACTCTAAAGTAATTACCTCAAAGCCTGAGGACATGACTTGACTGCCATTAATCCTCACAAATGATGTTTTATTACTATAAATGCTAATCAAGGTGCTGAATTAGTGAATTTCTGTGAATAAACGCTACATAGGAGATATGACTTTCCACTCACCAGGTCCTGGATAGGGCATCTCTTCAGATTCTGTGATGGGGTGGGCCAGCAGTGGGCCAGAGGCCACGAGCAAAAAGGCCCAGGACAGGAGATGGTTACACTTCATCACTACAGGTGGCTCTGATTCTCACGGTGATCCTCAGGTGGAAAGAAGACTTGTACATGCTCTTTTGTTCCCAACTGGGTTATATACTTCCAGCTGTTGCCTATCCCCCCCCCACACACACACACACACCCACACCCCCGCATGCCACGCAGCAGACACACACTTTCGCTTGCCAAAACAGCCATCAGCAATATCCACAGTCCCATCCCTTCTAACTGTGATAAATCAACAGGCAGTCACAGGTGAATTATAGTGCCGTGGCCAATGCTTCAAGGTCACAGTCATGTTTTACCAGCTCTTCAGCCTGCTTGACTGTTTTACTGTCTTTGTAAATGGGATTGAAGCAGGTGTTTCAGATGTCATTCTCAAGAACACCCCATAGGAGAGCAGGTGGACACACGGGGCAGCCAAATGACTAATGCCTTTATGCTACCAGCTCATTAAACTCGAGGGCCATTTGAATCCTCTTGACTCAGAGCCCACAGGGGGAAAAAAGCTCCACGATTGGAGCTGCATACAAAGCAGTGATAATTCCTAATAAAACAGCATAATTACTTGCAGAGAGTGGTTCAGTAGTGATGCTAAAATATTGTAGGCCTTGGAGCCTATGAGTCATCTGACATTTTAAGTCAATTTAAAAGATGAAAATGTTCTACGGGTCATTGAATCTAATTGATACATGCATATTATTTAGAGGGCTTGTTGTGGTAAGATGGTAAACTTGTGCCTTCACTTCTTCTGAGTCATGCAATAAAACTCAACTTTATTAGAACGTCCAGCATAGATGGACAGAGTCAGAAAACATTTCCTGTCAGTGGAGACTTGGAACAGGTGGAGAAAGCGACTTACAGCGTCACATTTTGCCCATCTGTATGTAATTTGTATATTTATTAGAAGTGTGACATCAATGTTCAGTCTCTTGTATGATAATGAGGATCGACGAAGCGACAGTGACATTTCGTTTTACTGCCAGAAGACCAGACACTCCATTAGGTGTTGCTTTATATCATAAAAAGCTATTACGATTTATATTCTGTATTAGTCAAGGCCCCGCTGTTTATTCCGGCCTCTCAACTAAATGTAGTCTCCCCCATGCTTGGGGTTTATCTTGCAATATATGGGGTCCTCTTTTACAATTTGAATGGGGAATCTTGAATGGCTTCAAGGTCCACTTGTTTCGTAAGCAAAATGGACACTTTTCTTGAGATTCATACGATATAATTTGGATCAGTGTGAACAAAGCAGAGTGGACTTAACAATAGTTAAATTCTAAGAGTAGCTGTAACAGATCAAAAAGCTGCATCGATGATGGTGTTACATAGAGAGAATTGTTGTTGACATCTTGACCATTCACTGTAAACAAAGTTTAGAGGCTAAACTCAACTCTGCATGTATTTGTTAAGAATTCCCATGGAAACACTTATATATTTGAATACTTTCCCTGAAGTAATACATAAATGAGTTACTTTACGAAAAATAAGTCTCATAAAATCCTGCTTTCAGAACGTTAAATATGAATGAGAACAAGTGTTTGTAGTAAAATACGCTGATGTAGCAAAAGTAGTGCAAAATATGACAAACTGTCCCTTTTAGAGGTTAGAATGCTGTCGCATTAATATGCAGAATTGTTGAACGGTTATGGACAAAATGGTGCTTGGTCTGCATTATCTCACCTGGTGGGTGGTTTAAAACAGCCATGCCATGTGTCCTGTGTTCTGAGTGTGTCGTTTGTTTTAGCAGAAGAAGAAAAAAATGATCTACAGCTTAATAATATACTCATTAAAGTAACAACAGAAATATCTCCCTCTGAATTTTGTGAAGTACCTTTTGTACATCTAGTAAAAGCAGAATTTGATGGTTCCATTTATGAAAAATATAATTTGCTTCATTACTGAAATATCCCCATCGGTACACCAGACATGATTCAGATGAGATTCGTTTTATTCCCCTTTGATTTCACATTCACATTATTACTGAAAATACCTGATTTATAGACAGTTTATAATCTGCTGAAGATCTTAGCTCCGGAAGCTACATGTCCCATCAAACAGCCAATAGTCAAAGCTATGTGACCTGACAGGTTGTTATGACTTGTTGACTATATTCGGCCTACTGGAAATCTGACTGACGCATGTTCAGCCAGCAGAGGGCAACATTACGTCTAGAAAACCACATAGTTTATAGAATATAGGTCTACTTATAGATCTTCAGCAAGTTAGCCTCCATTCTAATCTTTTGAGAGTAGCTTGAAGGTATTATCTTCCTAGACGCTAGTCTTTTTTTCCTTACTTAATTTAAGATTATTCAAAGAATCTCAAATTGACAAAGTGCAAATTGAATCACAAACCATGTAGCCTTCAAAACCTAAATAGCCTACTTTTTTTACATTTACTTTTTAAAAGAAGTATATCATCTTCCTCAGAAATGGGACTTTTGTTATTATTCCTGACATATGCATTATACTTTACAAAGTGTACAGGATAGTTTCCTCCCTAGCTGATTAAATCAGTTATTTCACTGCTCATCTAGAAGATTTAGATGCACACTGGAGGAAAATGTGACAGTGGCTGTTATTTATCTGTTATCAAGTCGTCTTGAACCACAAGTCAACTGAAATGTTTTGCCACATTATCATATCTTGCTTTAACACTTTTAGTTGCCAAAATGGTTACTTGGTAACAATGGTACCAAGCAGTTTTCTCCACAATAATATTTCCACTTATTTATCTTTTTTAATTAAAATAATAAAATGCAGACACACTTCTGCTTTGAAAACGCCAGAAGAACTTGTCATTAGAACAATCGGCGGGTTAAAAGTTGCCTTCAATACCTGTTCGAAATATTGCACTTCAGTGTGCACACATGAAAGTGGCTTCAGGTTGGCTTGTATGATATTCGAGTTGTTAGGTTTCACTAAGTGAAGGTGAAAGTCTACTGTTGTGTTGCTGGACAGTGTGCCTTTCTTTACGCTGCTTAATCCGTAATCTAACCCTTTGACCTGAGTCGGCTAGTCTTTAACCCCGATTATCGGATTTATCTCTACATTGTTCCATCTCCGTTCCAAGACGGTTAAAGAAAAAGAAAAAGAAAAATAACGCCAGCTGTCATTTCTGCTGGCGCGCACCGTGACTGGTGTCGATAAATCGGAGTTTGAAGGAGCACCTGAAGGCACCAGCCGTTAAACGCCCCCACTGCTGCCGAACAGGAGCTGCGGAGAAGCAGCCGGAGCGAAGAGCCTGTTGTGGGTTAAGTTTGTCCACCCTTGCTTCCCATCACGACTCGACGTCCGGGGCTTTGTTTCATTCAGTCGACAACCGCCGCCGGTTCCGTCTAAATAATTGCACACCACATAAGCACAGGCGCTATAAACGGCCAAGCACGTTCGTGACATTTTGGATACATAGAGACACAGAAAGAAGAGAGGAAGGGAGGGAGAGGGAAAGTGCGACGGAGCGGACAAAGTTGACACTTTGGCTCTTTTGTTTGGTACTTGTTGAATAGGCTGCGTGTGCAGCCAAAACACTGGAGCCTGTGTGGGCAGCGTGCTGGGAACAGGTAGGTTATGAAACATCGACTCTTACATTGTTAGTTTGGTTATTATTGTTCTTTGCTCGACAAAACAAGTGGCCTACTGCAATGCAGATAACGTTAATGTTTTAACCTATAGTTAGCTGAACGTTACTGTTGACAGCAGCACTGCTCGTGTTAGCTTGGTTGCTGTCAGTAAAGACTGCATGCTGAGTTTGTTAGTAATTAGCGGACTGGTTTTTGCATTAACACCACTGAGATAAACCAGTTATGCGTTTAACTTAAAGACACTAATGTTCACCAAATGCCTCTCTGTGTAGTTAGCTTGCAGGTGTCTTTCCCTCTGGTGTGTACCTTGCCTTTAAGTCCCATTTCACTTAAGGTAATAACCAGATCATAACAAAGTTCCCTATCTGGCGCCAGGGTCTTCTGTGTCACCATGAGGCTGTGACAAAACAGGGACAATGATGGCAGAGCTGGAAATTGACCAGTCCAACCTTCCACGTGTACAAGAAGGTAAGATCATACTTCCACACTGACCCAACCCTGGCATCCACTGTATAGACACTTTGAGTATTGAATAGTGTGTGCACAATGGTTCATGGTCTGTCTTGGAGGAAAGTTATTTTTGTTTAGCCCCCCTCAGGGAGACCAGAGGTCAGGGTCAGCTACTGAACTGCAGATCTGGAGCCAGTAGGGATAAAGCATTTGATTCATGGAATCTTCAGCACAGCTAATACGAAGGACATACTTGTCTGCTGCATGCTTTAGAGAGATTGAGACACATGACAACGTCCTATTGTTGTTGTTTTTTTTGGCGCTATGAATAACTGGCCTTGGCACCAAATGGTAGCTTATCTTCTGTACTTCTGTGTCTTCTTGATTTCTGTGGTAGCACTACTCCAGCTCTCCATCTTAGATGAGAAGTTGCTTGTGATATGTTTTGACTACAGGCAGCAGAGATGGCTCTCGTCATAGACGGGTCTGGTGTGCTGGGAGCAGATAAGGAATGAGATTTTTGGAAATGTTATTTCACATGCACGGAAACAGAATTTGTCATAGCAAAGCACCTCCTATGAACTAAATAGTTTTTTTTTCTGACTGCGTGTAAGTCTGAAAACAGTCACAGGTAAGGAATGTCGAAGCTGTGGCCTGGATGTCGAGCGTTGACTCGGTCTTTGGTGTGTCCACACTAATGAACGGGCTAGAAATAGGTCTGCACGTCTTTTATCGAAGGAGATAATTCAACACTCCACTCTAGTTTCCATAAACAAAGGGCACACTGTGCAGCTTTGCATTTTTATGCTTAATCGAGCAGGGCCCAGCGTGCAAACAAAGCCAGTAACTGCAGCAATAAACTGCTCATTGAGACAATGGCAGCATGTAAATCAGATGTCTGGTCCGTGTCATTTTTTCCGCTCATCATCTACTTTCACCAGACAGATTTGTCAAACTGTGCCGTTGTCCCTCTCTGTGGCACTGGGGTTGTTTACTTAGCCTAACATTGTGGGTGTTTATGCTTCAATTTCCCCATGAGCCGTATAGTTCCCGTGTCTCACTTCTCCTTCACTTTTACTCTGGATCCGAGAGACTCGGCCAAGTCAACTTTCTTCGTTTTCGATGCCCCCCCCCCCCTTATCAGTTCCTGTTTTGTCCCTCCTCTGGCTGCTGCAGATATAGCCTGATGTGCAGAGGGAATGCAGCTCTCAGAGGAATTCCCCCACCCCCCCGTTCCTAATTTCACTCTCACCATCTGACCCAGAGTCCCATTACCCCTCCTTACCTCTCTTTGTTCTCCATGAGTTTCACCCAGTTCGTCTAGTTTATTACTCAGCACAGAGAGTTGTTGGATGAACACTTATTGGTGAAATTTTGTGCAAAAAGTGGCGAGCAGATGAGAGAGAGAGAGAGGTCGGTGGGTGGGTGGGTGGAGGATTTTGGCTGAAAATAGAACCCTTGTCATTTTCTCCTTTCGCCGCTTTCTTTGTTTGGCAGGCACTTGCCAGTGCTGCTATCCGAGTAGCTGCGAAGATGAAAGAGAAATATCTTTGTCAGTGTTTGAGCGTCTGTTCTCCTCAAGCTGGATGCCTGAGATAATCTGCATATTTTTTTATTTTAGATGATTGGTTGTCAGTTCTCTAATGTGGGTTGGAGTTCTGCTTGAATACAAAGGGCTTGCATTCACCTCTGAGATTTAGTTACATCAGCAAAAAATGAAAAAAAATAGCCTTACATTTAATTTTTCTATTTTGGACGACCATGGCATATTTGTAGGGGACAAGAGGCATTAAAATATGAAATAATTCCTTTGTTTTGACTGTTTAGGCTTTGAGGTCATGCAGGCCGTGGTTTAGTGCTCATAATAATATCCCGTCTCCCACAGTTTTACTGCAGAGACGGTCTGCCCACATTCTTGGGGAATATACTGGGTAATGCAGCGGGTTGCTGGATATATTTTGAAATCTTATATAGCCTACTTGTTCATGTTGCCTTGCACTCTTTCTTAGACATTCTTACCCCTCAGTGGATCTTAGCCTGTGGTGTTTAAATGCCACAGACAATTTCTGTTGTCTGCTGGATCCCTGATCTGCTATCCTCTTAGGAACCTGACATGGCCTAGCAGGGTCCTTTCAGTTCCCTTTATAAAGAAGCTTATATAGTAGGAGGAGATTTTTGAAAACGCACTGCACACCCTGTCCATCAAAACCTGTTTAGCAGTCGTAATAACTCGGTCTCCTTGTCCCTCCCATCGGAGGGTAATGTGTTTAAAGGAGGCTGGAAAATCAAGTTAACCCGCAATGCAGACACACCCTCATCCACGTTTGTGTGCATGCACAGACAAGACTGTCATTCTCCCCCATCTTTCCCTACTTTCTTTTGTTCTGAGTTGGATTTAAGAGTAAACTCATGTTTTGAACAGTCAGTTTATCCTGTTGGATTAACACCAAGCGTTTGACTTAATGGCTCCTCCTCATTGACGACTGGACACATATGGGCAGGTTGGAGAGCCATTTAGCGGATAGTCTCTTAAGCTCCACGACAGGTGTAAGTGGTAATGCGTGTCTGTCTTGGTGTGGGTTAACTCAGTGTGGTATTATGTGGTCTTCTATGGTGTAAACAGACCCTTTAGAGGGCTCAGCTCTCTGGGTGATTTCTATGAACTTTGACTGCTGGGCCCCCCCAGACTAAAACATACCCCGAGAGTTATTCTCAGCAAGAACGTTGTTTTCTTTTTCCAATCGAGTTTGACTTAATCTTACCACAAGAATGTTTCAGAAGCACTTTTTTTTTTCTGTCATTTCCGTATTTACAGAACTGGACAAAGAGGAGCTGTCCTCAGTTTTGACTTGTTATATCAACTCAGAAGCAGTTCTATAAGTGTTTAAATTGAACATAGGCTGTAGGCTCGATGTCATTCTTACGATGCATCTTGAGGCCACCCATTCGTTCCCGTCATCCATGACAGCATCCAGCTAATCTACAGCTAGTCTGTAAACTTCCAGGGTCTTTGCTTGTCGTCTGTTCATTCACTTTTTGTATTTGTTCTTTTTCTGAAGAGATAAACAAGCACAATTGAGTCCCTGAGAAAACTAAGTGAGAATAAATGTCTTAGCTTTGAAATCTCGCTTACAGTGACAGCCAGGTTTACACGCACAGTATACCAGATACTGGATCCTATTGGCACCTCAACTGCTATGATTGTTAAATAGGTTATTATAAACAACATATGGCATTTATGTGTCAACTCCTCTCATAAACGGAATACTTGAGTATTGAGCATTACGCACATGGATGTAAATGTAGCCATGAACTCTTCATAAACACTGTTCTCTGTCCTCCTGGCATTTGAAAGCATTATTGAATAGATTCTATTCCATTCTAGGTTCCCCGATGAAAATCTGTGACATAGCGAAGCAGTTTTTTTCAGGTCACAGTGAGCTGCGTGTCTGCAAATATGGAGGCAGTGGAGAAAACAGCTGGTTCTGCAGCGCTGCTGCTGACTGTCTGCGTTTATTTTCTCCGGAGTACTTTTTGAAGTAGTTTGACAGACTTTAAACACCCGTGGGCCTCGGCACATAGACGCTATCGAGGCTCATTTAGGACTCCTGTAAACACTGGGCATGGCTATAGAGGAGAATCTAACAGTCCTGTTAAACCCGATGTACAGACCACAACTGTGGGTATTCACCACATTATTATTGGAGTCTTAAAATGAACTCCGGTCAAAACACAGCAATCAACTGTCTCTCGATCCCTTTTGACTTCACACGCTTGGGAACATTTTTTTTGCATAGTTGTTCTTGTGTCTAGGTCTCAAGGTCTTTTGTCAGCTTTCTGACAAAACAGGACGAGGCTAGACTTAAGCGGGCGTTAGTGACATGAAACCGATCTGTTATTACCATATCCAGCAGCAGCTGGTGAGACTGTGGGATCATGTGCTTTGCCACAGAGTGGCTTGATGTGGAGAAGCAGACAGAGTTGGTGTACAGACTAGAGAGCTCTTAGCTAAAGCCTTGGGATTTACGACAACCTTACAGATTTCACTCAGCATACTTTCGTACCATCTGCACATGGCTTCACAGTAGAAATGGTTGCAGGTGGTAGTTCCTAAACTTTGCATCTTCATTTGCTAGTCATAGTGAGCACATTAGTGAATGAAAAACATGTACCTTCCTCCTTAAGATCATTGAAACCACAATTTAAAAAATCACACTGCGACTCTCTGGTCACATGAATGCTTCCGTTGAGGTGGACCTGTTCCTCTGTCGCTACTAAACCAAGTAACTTTGGGAGGACGGTAAACATTGTGGCCACTTGGGTGTTCCTCTGGAACACTAGCACCCTGTTATGATGAGGATTTATGAGGGCCTTTTATATATTTAACAGGTAATTCACGCCAGAGTGGTAAATGTTTTTACTCCTCCACCCTTTGTCTGTCAAACAAAACCAGCCATAATGACACACAGCACTTGTATCCTATTCCTTCCCTTTAGACAAAGGGCTGAACCAGAATGTTGCCTTATTTCACGCTGCCCAAGAGCTCAACAGTGGGTCTGGATGGAGCAAGTAGGGCCATTCATGTTCTGTTGTTTTAGTGATCCTCAAGCTGAGAGAACAGCGTACTTCATTCACACTCCAGTCCTGTTTGAACACTTTGTAACTAGAAGTGGGATCGGGTATCAGAGATTATGTGGGTCTATTAACTGATCTTATGTCAGAGCATATGGAGAACAGAGAGTGTCAGAAACTTAAAAAAGAGACTGCAAACTGGTTTATAAAGCTGGTTTGTAATTCAGGATTTAAAATATAAAGATTAACGGGACTCAGCGGGCGAACATGCCGCTCCACCAGAAACATCTCTAAATGCCCAGTATGGCGCAGATTCTACTGGTTATTTTGATAGAATCTTAGTTGATAGTAAGTTAGTTAAGGTAGTTTTTGATGCACTTGTAACGGATTGGTACTGGGTATCGGCCGATACACAAGTTCACGTATCGGTGTCGGGAATGAAATATAGTATCGGAACTTCTCCATTTGTAACCTTTTGCATGATACTGAAGCTTTCCTCTGTTGTTTCAGTGTGCCAGTGTTTTGCTGTGCTGGAGGATGGAGCGCTGGCACACAACCTGCAGGAACAGGAGAGTAAGTAGAATGTGGCAAAAATGTGTAGTCATTTGTATTATGGGGGCTGCTCTCTAGTCTGTCTTAGTGAAGCACTACTTTCTGTGTTGTGTGGCTTCATCTTTAGTTATTATGCTAAGGAATTTACATAATTGTTATATACATACATATACATATACATACATACATACATACATACAATTTTTGATTACACATGGTCTTTCATTGCCACACATTGAGACTGTCCTACCTTGTGCCATTCTTCTCTGTTTTGCCCATATAGTCGAGCAATACTATACAACCAACATCCAGAAGAACCAGCTAGTGCAGAACGACATCCGTGTAGCAAAGATGCTGCAGGATGAGGAGGAAGAGGAGCAGGCCCAGCAGAGCACCCTCCTCAGACAGGCCTCCAGACAACTGTGGGTTACCCCTGCTCCCCAAAAAGCACTGTAACACAGCTCACACTGCTGCACTATTCACATATCAGCGTCCTGATGTACCCTGACCCTGCTCTGTATAGATCTACTATGCAGATTTATATTCTAAATTTACATTGATGTTTGTAGTTTTATCACATATGTCACAAGTGTGAGAAGTCTTTTTTTTTTTTTCTTTTTTTTTTCCTCCCGACTGTAGAGAGATGGAGGACTTTGAGTATGCCCGTGTAATTCAGGAGGAGATCCAGCGTTGTGCTGAGGAGGCCCGGAGGAGGGAGCAGGAGGATGAGGTGAGTACAAACTCACTGTCTGCATCTGGTTTGCATTTATCCAATTAATATCTAGCAACTTTCTTAAAAAGAAGATTCCACTTTCATTGTTTCATTGTTTATACACAATATATATACAGTATAAACGCCACCGTCTATGCTCGGAGCTTGCACGCCATCTGCGGAGGCTCGCGCTACGGCACCAAGTGCGAGTAAAACAAAACTTTAGTATTCACAGCCTTTCCCACAGTGAATACATGCACCAGTTAGTTTCATGCAGACTTTGTTTTACTTTAAATGCTTCGACCAGTATAACCAAGTATAAAGGTCAGTTCTGACGTCACATTGATCTGCACCTACTTGTCAATAATCCACGTACCCACCTCAATATGATAAATCTTTTGTCAGTCAGCAGGCTGCTACACACAGGCTACTATTTACTGCAGCTCTTTAAATAGATAGACCAAATACTACTCAAATATGAAGCCTAAATGATACATTAAGATGTTTTTATTTAATATAAAATGCAGTTTTCAGTTGAACTGCTCTTTGCCACAAGATTTATTTTAATACTGAAAATACAAATCAACCTGTGCATGAATACTACAAACCCAATATTCATTGATCCTTTTTTACAGTGCACAACAGTCAAACAGTAGCTACCTTTGTGTGGATGAGAACAGGTGAAATTGCTAACATCCACCATAGCAGCTCTACTTACCGTCTTCCATTAAAATCAGCCAGATTTAAGAGTCCAAACATTATCCAATCATCATTCAGGCCATCATGTGGGGCTTGAATCTGTGCCAACATGCATTGCACCAAATCCAAAGAAACTCCTTGAAAAGGTCAACTTGCCCATGTTTCTAGGGAATGAGAGGAAACTCACTGAACAGTGAGCCTCAGATCTGTCCATCATATGATATCACTGATAAACAAATCTTTATTTTGCCCACACATAGTTGGAGAATATTGTGGAAAATATATATATACGTATGCCCCTTGGATGACTGATATATGGAAAGGTTGAAAAGCAATGTTCCTTTACCAGTCACTTATTTTGTCATTTTTTAAATTAAAACCTCTATGGTTGAGATTAGCTTTGAACCGAAAGTTGTTCCAGCTAATAAGAAGACACAAACATGACAGCGAAGGTTTTAAAGCGAAACATTTTTGAGGGATTTGCTCTTAAAAGAGGAACAAATCCTTTCCTGTGGGTGTCAAGTTGCTGTCAGCAACCAGAGCACAGCGAGACACTGTTCTGTATGAACACGTTAATGCCAGAGGTAAGAAGTTTTATCAATGCGTCTGTTCAAAATGTCTCAAACCACTATCTAGTCCGAGCCATAAAAGTCTGTGTTAATGGATAATGCTGTAATGTATCATCTGACTCAGTAAGGTGGCGCACAAAGCAGAGTATAGCTGATTTATAGAGGTATGTTAATGATTCTATGTATCTCAAACTGCATGACTGTGTGCAGACAGAACTGGGCCTAATCTAGAAGGGCAACCATGGCAGTTGAAGCAGACTTAAAATAGCCCCAGCATTATCTTTACATTTTCATTCAGCACAGGGACTCGTAGACCTATATGGCACCTGGGACATACTTGTATATCATTTAATTATCTCCCTGTTACCAGCAGGTCAGGCAGTATCATACGGTTCACTTTGCTCTCTCTCAGGACAAACTGAATCCATAATGAATGGCGGTTGCAGCAAAGTGCTGCTCTGGGCCTCTGATGTATCCACTGTGCCGTAAGGGGGCTGTGTGAGCAAAGTCAGCTGTTAAACAGAGACACAACCTGTCAGCTACCCATCTGGATGATGGCTCAAGCTATTTCTCTGGAGGTTGATTCCAGACATGCACCATCAACCTCTTGATACACCACAGACCACACACGTGTGTGTTCACATGTAGCCACACTCGATGTGCACACTCGACATGCGTAGTTTGAGAAGAGGCGGGTTAAATGAAAACATATAATATAACATTAATATCTCGATACTGCTGTGATGGTTGACACTTGTTTTCCCATTTCCCCTAGTCCTGATTTGTGTTACAGCTCTAGATCTTTTAGATACAAAAACATTCTTCTTGCAACCCAAACACAACGGGGCAACCAGATGGTTCCCATCAATCATTTCTCCCTGAGCCCAGCTCCTCAGAAACGTCTTCATGTCTTGACTGAAAATCTACCTACCAACAGAAATGATAGGTTGAGCTGTGTAAGAGAGAGCATTGTGGGGGAAAAAGAGCCAACTATGCCATGAAACTCCCCAGCTGGTCTAGTGGAGCGGCCTGCGTCACAAGGCTGCTCCAGCATAATATTTTCCTTTACTCTGCCGTTTTGGACAGGCTTATAAAAGCTCCTTGTTTGGTAGATGTGAGGTCAGAGAGACTGTGGGGTTCATTCATCATTACTAAAGGGTTTGGGTTTACACTCTGTTGGAGCCAACATGAGGTGTCTACACTCAGAATGAAATGCACTTTGACCTAGTGGGTTAAAATCTTATGCTGGGTTCTGCAGCGAATGGTGTGATAATACATCTATTCCTGAGTGTTGATGTTTGGATCGGATGATGAACTGTTAACGCTCCCGTTAGCTCACCTTTCTTAATGACTGGCTGATCAGAGGTGTTGATTAAATATTTGCCTCCCTGTAGATTTTGTCTTTAATGAAGGAACAGAAGGCATCAGGCTGTGCATTTTTAAATGCCAGATCCCCGTGGCAAGACAAGCCGCGCCTAACCTGCCACAGCAAGCTGCTAATTGTCTGCTGATGCTGGCAAAGTGTCTGACACACACGCCCTGATTGCAAAACAAAAGGAGCTGCGTTAGCCTTTCCTTGTGATTTATGTTGCAAATGCAGCCTCCAGAGAGAGATTTCATAGACTTCACTGGTAGGATTTGCTGATTTGTAGAGAACATTATTAGTCGTGGACTTTCCAAGGAAAGTAACACAGAGACATTTGGGGGTGGGGGTGGGGGGGTTCTCCTTCAGAGAGCAGTCAAGCATAGCAGCTCTCGTAAGAGTCTGCATTCCCCAGTGACATGGGGTTTCTTCTAGTGAAACACTTCTGTTGACCTGCTTCTGTTGTTGAGTGTTTCTGGTCCGGAGTTCAGGCTCGGGGAGATTAAAAGTTTGCGCGTCTCTCATTGAGTCTCCTAGATTCCATCGAGTCAGCCACAGCCCTGTCTGAAGTAATTAGTTTGGCCACCCAGAGCTGAGATGTCAGGTCACGTCATCGTGGCACTATGTCACCCAACAGGCCTCTGCATTGGATGTATCCTCCTCCTCCTTCTCCGTAGACATGCCAGATGCTGATGGATTAGATTCTCTTCTTGATGCAAACGGGTTTGAGAGTTTGATCCATGTTGCATTCATGTTACTTGAAAGCTAATAATGTATAGATGAAATCAAAGGGAACCGAGAATGTTTTTGGGAGAAACTGAAACAGACAAGCAGTTGATTGAAAATGCTCTTTTACTGAATACAGTATAAGAGGTTTTTTCTTAGACCAGTTTTTGTAAATTGTGGAAAGAAGGTAACATAAAAGCAAATATATAAGACACTAATCAAAAGTTTCCTCAGGATTGTGTTCCTTGTGTGATTGTTGAGTCTGGGTGAACAGCTGACGCCTTGCTTTCTTTTTACACGATCTGTTATTCTGCCCTCTGCTGGAGGAAACGGCACAGAATAAATGATGTCTGAGAAAATAATTGCAGCATGCTGCCAACTCATGGTTGAACACCAATGGTATAACCTGACTGTTCTTCGTGAGTGGAGCTTGTTTTTACATGTTGTACTGATCATTTCGTTATTAGCTGTGCTGTGATAAATACATTGGTTTTTGAATTAAAGCAAATAAGCCAAATGAAAGTTATTATTGGCAAATGATACAGTTTAGGATGAAAGGATTGTAACAGTCACTCTAATCTAGTTGGAAATTCTTCTCAAAGCCTTAAAAGGGTATCTGTTTATTTGCTTATTTGACCTCCATTTCTCTGTGGTCTTCATCTAGCCTAAATTTTAAATGGGATACATATTATGGTTTATAATGCAAAGAAGCAATCAGTACGTCTGTGTCTTCACAGGAAATAGCTAAACGAATGCAGGAAAAGGAGAAGCAGAGAACCACGAGGATAAGCAGAGGGCAGGAGGGCCGTAGTGAAGGTACAGTTTTATTTATTTATGTTTTAAACAAGAGAGCACCATCTTTAGCATTATTCGGCAGTATATTCAAATTGTTGACTAATGTATAATATATGGAAATAAGTTTTAGGAAGTAGCTTTTTTTGAACTAAATATGTGTATTTGCTGAGATTTTAAGAATTATTTGTCACACTTGCAAGAAAGTAGGATAAACCCCAGAGCCTGCTTAGCTCGTCTCTAACCATGCTTTACCTCATTGCTACTGCTTATTGTTGTATGCAAGTCATTCTCCACATTACAACCGCATGAGAAAAACCTCCTCTCTACATAGCTGTCACACTACAGTTTATTCTTCTTGTGTGTGTGTTCTGAATCAGTTTCATGCTTGTAACACGTTGCCCTCTTGTTATCTTTTAGATATCACTGATTATCTGTATTTACAATGCCTTAGTTGTGTCTAGAATATTTATATAAAACGTCACATGCTGCTATTTTGAATGCAACATGTTGCCTCATAATTAACTGCAGTTCTCTAATAGTACCTGCTAACAGCCTCACCCATCCTCCTTGCTTTTGTGTTTGCATGTTTGGCATTACTAAAGGCAGCACTATCGATCCTGCGCTACCATCCCCACGCCAGCACACACTCAGGGGCCTTCAGCAAGGAGAGGAGCAGTACTCATCTGCCACCACCAGGTGGCAATGCTCTGCCTCTCACAACCATTCAGACTTAACTGGGCCTCTGGCTGACTCCCCTAGGGGGGTAGCAGCTCAGACGCACACAACTGCATGGTCAAATCAAGGACACACAGATTCCATGAGGGAAATCAGGAGTGAATTGAGAGAGCGTTTGAGTGAGGATTCAGAGGACTCGGACACAGTTTTCTCTGTGCAGCCCTCTGTCTGGTCCCAGAGACTAAATGAAAGACTCAACACGGCACCTCCTCGACAGCGGGCATCTTTATATCAGCCGCCAGAGAGAAGCTATAGAAGTCTTTGCTCTCGCAGCAGCTTCACAGAGGAGGAGAGAGGAGGATGGACTGAGGACTGTAATGAAAGTGGTGACCTAGAGCAGAGGAAGCCTAGGAATTTGGATCAGGAAAGGAACCATAGAGAGGAGTATCGGAGTTTCCACAGTAGCAGAGATCAGGATAGAGACAGTAAGTTAGTCGAAGTGAGAGAAAGGCGATGTAGTCGCAGTGAATCTGTCAGGCTACATGACCGGAGTAAACCCAGCAATGGAGACGTGGCGAGGACCTGGAGCTATATGGAAAACCCAGACAAACGTGTCCGTTTTCAGGACAACACCAGGAGCTCTTACAGGCCGCAGGGTGAAACCAGACGAGTCTGGGAGATGCTGGGCCAGGTCCTCAGAGAGAGGGGCGTGCCTGTGAGGTTCGGCTGCGACGGGGCGCCACTTCAAATAAGGCCTCAAAGCAGAGAAAGCCAGGTGCTCCATGGGAGTGAGGTCTCCTGCAGTGACTCCCAACCACATCAGAGAGCTTTCCAGAGAGCTGCCACCACCAGGCACAGTTTCCATGGAGATATCAGGGAGAGGAGGAGACACCAAGAGAACAGTGAGAGAGATCACAGAGAAGACGGGGACCGGCACGGCAAAGACGTGGAGCATGATGGAAAGATTTACGAGATTAGTAGTAGAGATGCAAATCTTGCCAAGAGAGAAAGGGGAGGCAGTAGACGGTGGAGAGAGCACCGATACACTAACGAGAGCGAGAGGCATGCAAACGATTGCAGGGTCAGGAGGACAACAAGCGAACGGAGGTCTTGGCACAAGACCATAGAAGAAAGGTTAAGCTCAGAGGAGGAGCAGGAGGTGGAGAGGAGAGGAGAGCGGCCCTGTCGAAGAGCCGCACAGCGTACCCAAAGCCTCAGCAGCAGCCGGGCTTCAAACGGGGATAGGTCAAGGCACGTGGCAGCAGGTAACGCACAGAACTGCAGCCAGGGAAAGCTTCCAGAGCTGTGCTCCCTACCTCTCTGAGCATCTGCTCCTCTCATCTTCCCTCAATCATCATCTAATGATTTGGGGTCTCTTACTGAAGGGACATTTTCCTGTTCATATCTATAATTCCAGTAGTCCTGAAATATTCTTCAATGTGTGCATTCATTCTCATCTTCGTTCTTTGAATTTGTATCTTGTGAGGGAATAAGTACCGTGAAGTCCCTTTCAAAACCGAGCAACATACCCTTACACACTGCATCCTCTCATCTCTTGGTGTGATTCAAAGGTCATTGGTCTTTGTGTCTTTCTCCCTCAGTTTCAGTACACTTGTGTGATTCATCGCTGATTTTCATCTTTTTTTCCCACTACTTGTATGCATGTTGTCATCATTAGTCGCTTCAGTTTCTTTTTTAATTTGACACGCTTCATATTTAACCTTAGGAGCGCCACTGCAGCCAGAGCCAGGCGAGGCCAGCCTGGACCTGGGGGAGCTGCGCCAGGTGCTACAGGATGAAGAACTGGCTCTCAAGTTGCAGGAAGAAGAGGAAAGGCGGTTGCGCAGGGTAATTTGGGGGAATTTAGGAGTCAAGGGAAAAAGGACAGAACGGATTCTCTTCCTTTTTTTTTTTCTGACTTTCACAGTTTTGGTTTCGCAGAACTCCCAGCCCTCTCCATGTCGTTCTTACCCAGAGGGAGACTTCAGAGTGGCGCAAGTGGCGCAGGATGAGGTACGATGAATTGATACATCAACGGTACCAATGTATCTCATGTTTAATAGCCACCTGTGGAATGATCTACTGTTGTTGTTTTTTGTACTAGGAAATTGCACGCTTTATGCAGAAGCAGGAAATTAAATCAAAGCGAAGATCTCGTGAGCTAGAGGGGCCGGCATCGTGGCGCGAGCACAGCACGATGATCGGTGTTCATGACAGACGGGCTGCAAGAGACAGACCGGTAAATAATAAATAATGCAAACCTGTTCCAGCATCCTAAGACAGTACATGTCACGTCCATTCATGTCCTTCACTAACTCTTTCACACTGCAAATCCCGCACTTGCCTTGGTACAATCTGTGTTAATGATGTTTTCATTATCTCTTTTTTATTTTTTGAGGTGATGAAATGAGTTGTACTCCTTTCTCCACTATCTGCAGGTCCGTCGAGAGAGGCTTGACTCAGAGGGCCTTCCTTCCCCCACCGAGGACTGCTCCCCAGAGAACCAGCCGCCCAGCCCCATCTCCACACTACCGTAATTGTCTCTCCATGAATATACGTTTAAACTGTGACCGTATGTCGTTCATCTACTTGATATGCTGAATTACAACTGCTGCATTTCCAGACAAGTCCAACAGATCCGAAACATTGCGGAAGAGCTGGACCCGACCTTCCAGGCCAGGAGGGAAAGCACAGAGAGCCTGAGAGCGGCACCAGCAGGTACCGCAAACATTACAGATGATTCTTAAAAGGAAACCATTAAAACAATGGGTGGACACTCACATCCTGTTTCCTTTTAATACAGGGCCAACCTGTCAGTCACTTCCCATGCCGCAATCTGGCTTACATGACTTACTCGAGGAGGCTACTTTCATCCCACCCACAAAACGGCAAACGGACAAATCAGGACGTGCAAAATCCAAAGAGAAGAAGGACAATTGCAAGCAACAATAATTTGACACATTCTGTTAGTGAGTGAGTGTGTGTATGTATGTATGTGTATATGTGTGTGTGTGTGT